GTATCTTTTTAAATTAAAAACATATAATCGCAGAGAGGAAAAAACTCTTCGCCCATTTCAAATTCCCTGCTCCAGGAGCGTTTGTATGAAGGGTAGAATAGGGAGTGTCAATTTTTTTTCTTCCTCTGTGGAACGGGCCAACTTACCATACACATGCAGATTTAACCGGGTCTAGGAGTGTCAATTTTTTTTCTTTAAGTCCTTTTATTTCTCCGTGGTGGTAAAATATATATGAAAAGGCAAAAGCAATACTCCTTTTTATTGCTAAAAAGAAAAAAATTTAACAATAAATTAATGCATGGATTCTAATGGGCTAACCGCTAATCATAAAATAAAAGAGTTGAATGGGTCTGACCTACATGGGATTTGCCCATCAAGTAAAACAAATGAACATCATGGGTTTGTCATTCTAAAACAAGCTATTTTCTCTAGCATAATATATATTATGCTATTATTTATTTATTTATTTTATATCTTAGTGGCTAAAATATAATGTATTTTAAAGTTATTCAATGGTTCAACCTCGACCAACCCAATTAGTCCAATTTTTATCATTTCAAATATATATTATGTTATTATTTGATATCATAATGATTAAATTATAGTGTATTATAGGGAATCGTTTGGTATTTGTTAGTAAAAAACTAAACAGAAAGATTTATTTGGTTATTTTTAACATTAAAATGATCCTAAATATTTTCAATTTCCTTTCAAAATTCTATAGTTTTATTCCCGAATCAGTGATGTTCAAATGGCAAATTGCAGTCATCTCTTTTCTTTCATTATTTTTTATTTTCAAATAGAAAGTTTAAAAGTAAAGAATAATTAGAGTTTGGCATGGGTCGGTCAAACAGGCTGAATTTCAAATTTTTGGCCCGTTTTGATCAAGTCTAATTTATAATCACATGGTTCCTTGATACCCGATAAAAATCTCAATTCAAACCAGTTTGGCAGGTGAGTCCGTGTTTACCACCATTTTCTAGGGATACAGGAACGGTAGTTCCTATCCCAAATCGTGTTGTTCATTCTTGATTTCTTTAGATTTTATCATGGCTTAGCAAAAAATCAGAAAACACAATGATGATAAGATGAAAGTTTTATAAAGCAAATCAATCGGCAACCGGGCCGAGTAAAAGTTAGCAACGATTGTGAGATGCTCATTTCCCGAAAACTGGCAGGATAGACGATTTTTTATTCGATTTTCTAGAATTCGGTTTCTATAAAACTTACTCCACCTCATCATATTTCCAGAAACAATATTGTTTCACAAGGTAACATGTACTTGATTTTGGTTCATAAGACTGATTTTTGATTCGTTGCATCATTCATGTCTTTTTCCTACTAAAATTCACTATTTTTATCACGTGTTTTCCAAAAAAAACTATACAACAATAAGCCATACACCCCATTACATTATCAAATTTCATACCTCACCTTCCTCCGGCCAAATGGCCGGGCCCACGCTAGTTATAAACAAAGGAAAATGATGGTAGCAGATAATATAACGATAGTAGGTTTACTCTCATATTTTTGCGTGTTTACATAATTCGGCGAATAGTAAAAATATAACTGTGTAGTATTTAACTTATAAGTTCTAGCCCTAGAATTTACTAGATGAGGTCAATGAGAACCAATTTTATAACTGGTATCAATTCAATTTGTTGACACCTAAAATTAATTTGGCCGGAATTAAATACTGCATTAATTAGTCTCGGCATTTAATTCGATACCGCGGGTAAAAAATGGTGTCGAGCGGTGTCGCGGAGAGTTAAAACGATATCGCGAAACAGAAAAGCGGTACCGCAAGAAAGCTCAGCGGTACCGCGGCACTGGAAACGACACTGTTTGCCAGAACCCAGGATGGAGGCCGCACGCGTAGTATTGGTGTGGAAAAGGAGTTATTATTATTTTTATTATTATTGTTATTATTCCTTGTTGGAAGGGGAGAAGCCGTACTGCCTGGAGACAAGCGGCATCGCGGAGAGTTAGAACGGTACCGCGGATTTAAAAACGATGCCGCGAGAGCTTTAATAAGCGGTACCGATCAATTAAAAACCACATCGGGTAAGTGATTGGCTCAAAAATCCGCCCAACCCAAACGTGCAAAATCACGGCATTTTAACTTTGGTATTTCTTTTTAGTATGTTAGGCGGTGTGGTTTAATTCAAAACAGCACCGCGAGTAGGCCCACCAATACCGCTGTACTAGCAAACGACAGTATTGAAAATAAACGATGTCACGGAGGTATTTCTTTGCAGAGCCATGCATGATCTACGTGTGACGACTCACCTGGTCATAATAAGGTTGGTAAGATGGATCAGCACCAGTAAGAGTGTCCAATAATAAGGTTTGAGAAACCAATTGAGACAAGATATAGAACCGCCACCAGCCAATTTAGGCACCTGTTCTCCTTTTAGACTAAATCGATTTGGTGCTAGTTAACCATTAATAGATTCGGATGTTAAATCACTAACCAATAACAACCTTCAGCCATTTTTCATTTGCTATTTTTAAAATTGTTATGGTGGTCCTTTTTAATATGAAATTTGTTGTACTTTGATTTTTAATAATAAAATATGATCAATATAATGGAACATCGATCGTGAATTAATAAGGAGAATTCCAACGCAAAAGTAAAAAAATCAAACGTCTTCATCTAATTAGTAAGTAACAACTAGCAAGACATCAAACACGAGCACCTCAAGGTCACCACGATTCACAGACAAACAAAGAGTATTAGGATGTGAGGTTCGTTCTGTCGACAGCGTTGGGATTCGAAGAGGGTGAATTTTGGGGTCTATAATTTTGGATTTTAAAACTTCTAGTGGAGGGTTATACGCAATAGGTGAGAATCATGATGGTTAGAATTGTGACTCTGATTGGTCATTAATTTTGGGACTTTTTTCCTTAGCCAAAGAACAAAACGATGTTTTATACTACTAGGTGATTATCAATTTTCTTAGCAAGTAACCACTAAATAAAATCAGTTAATCCAACCATTATTTTTATTATTATTTTCTAAATCGTTATTTATTCGATTATTGATTAAAACTGAAATCGACTAAGCGTTTACCATCCTCAATCAGTTAATTATAATTGGTAGACAAGATATGGCGCATGTACAAAATCTGTTTTCAGATGTCGTGCGTGGCTTCCTCGACGTGATCATTATGACTTCATCAATGAGTTATTGGGACCAAGTGGTTAGTTTGCTAACATGGTATCAGAGCCTAGAACCGAAAGGTCATGGTTTCGAATCCTCATGACGACCCCCAATTTAAAAACAATGGTTTAGTACAAGGAATGCAGGTATGTCCAACCTGGACAAACTGAAAGTCGAATGGGTTTGGCAGCACAAGGAATGATACGTTTAACCTGTGCAAACCGTATAAGAAAACCTCAAATAAAGATAGGCTTTCGTTTGAAGGAGCGCATAAGAGGTTAAAAGGCTTAACTATCCTTTTCCCAACAACTTGAGTTATTGGGACCAAGTGGTTAGTTTGCTAACATGCAGCCAGTGGTGGTCTGAGGTGACATATCGCAGACCATGTGTCGATATTAATATCTGACTAGCAAACCCATTGATGATGAAAGCTAGTGTTAGGACTCGATTATCATTTTATATATGCGGTTTTTATAAGTGAAATCCATTGATGATCAGTGGGTTGAATTTGAGTAAAAAGTAATCATAAAACCAGTAAAAGCAAAACAAGATTCAAGTCAGTTTAGGTCTGCCTGCCAGCATGTTGGACTAGAAGTCTAGAAGATGTTTGCGTTCAACGAATTTTCGGTTGGTTAACAAAGTTAAGGCTGCCACAAGCCGGCTGCGGATTGCGCAAAGACGGGGATACAGACATACAGCAGATCGAGAATGAAGATATGGCTGTTGCGGTATTGCCTCGACCGTCAGCTTCAAGAAGGAAAGGAACCGTCATCTTTTAGTTTGTCGTATGAGAATATAAGTTGTAGTTTGAGTAATTCAAACCCAGTACACTATTATTATCAATAAAAATAATTTTCTTTAGACTGCAAGTCATTTTTGTTCGATTTTAAACACTATGTAATAGAAAAATGTCATTTCGTATCTCTAATTATTTTCAAAACCTAACAATTAAACAAATTATTTTAAACACTGTTGTACCACAAGTGTTGAAAGAGTCTTTTAAGTTTTGAGTTACATCAAGAACAAGTGTAAAAATCGAATATGTGATCAGTTAGTGAATGATTCTAGTATGATATACAAAGACAATTTTTTTTAGCAGTGAAGACACCAAGTGTATTTTACAATTATTTCCGAATATGATAACTCATCGTGGACGTTTTTTAACTCGTACGATTCAGGTATTTTTTCTTATATAAGAATTCTTTAATTTTTATTAATGATTTAATAATTATTTTTATTAAATTTAATTTTTAAAAGACGACACCCCTATATAAAATTTCAAGGTCCGCCACTACATCAATATCGGTATTTATTTTAGAGCTAATACCATTGAAACATTACAACGTCTGTCCTGGTTCGGGCTGAAAGTTTCTCTCGGCCGGAACCTCGTCCTGCCGACAGATTCATTCGACCCGCGCTAGGTCGTGTCGTTGCAATGGTCTGCTGTAAAAATTGCTGAAAATTCCAAAAACTCGCCTGATATCCAAAATATATATGGAAAAAGTGAGACGTGCCCGGTCTAAGGTCGGAGGCTACACTGATGGCTGGACGGCGGCAAGGAGGCTCCAAATTTTTGACGACTTTTTTTTTTTAAATAATTTGTTGGGAGTGGAAGTGAAGTTATAAATGTACGATTTTATTAGAAATGAATTTCAAAAATTGGAAAATTTCCAAATAAGAGTTGGCGATAAATAGCTGAAATTGATTGCGTTGAATGTGATTGATGTATATTTGGATCCCATTATATGTTTTTTAGCAACGAACTAACATTATATTGATAATGAACACGAAGGATAGAACAATTCATCGATATATACGCATAGCTGCGTCGTGTTATACATATGAGAAAAGCTAGAGACGACCTTTATTGATACCATTGTCGTAGACGTAGGGTATCTCGACCACACGTGGAGATTACAAGACTATAACAAACACGTATGTTTTAGTTTTTACCCATACAAATGAGCAGGCAAGCGAGGAGACAACTGAACATCCAACGAAAAAGCCCTGGGATCGGTCAGTCCAATACTCTTAATTCGTCATATCAATCGGTTTGCTCGTCGCCCTCAAGAAATCAAATCCATGCAACAGCATAACAACCTTCAAGTGCATAACTTGCATGGCAAAAATCAGCTCCAGGACACATCCTCCTCCCACTACCAAAGGGTATCAGCTCGAAGTCTTGTCCCCTCATATCAACATCCTTGTGAGTCGTGAGGAACCGGTCCAGTCGAAACTCGTTTGGGTCCAACCAGACCCTCGGATCGCGCTGGATCTTCGACACGTTGACGATGAGCCGGGTGCCCTTGCCAACGACCCGACTGGCGATGGTGCAGGGATGGTGCAGGGATGATTTTAGTATCTTTCTTCCTGTCTATTTACCCAATTATAAAACATAGTAAAAAGGTATATATGTGTGTATTATGATGTAATTAACAAAGAAAACCCTTCCTTCTCTTTCTATTCATATATTTTATAATGAGGACCGCAAATGAGGTGAAATGTTCATGAGTGTCTTACGCTTGGCTTGAACAAATCTCATTTGAAACTAGCTACTAGTTTATTAACTAGTCAAGTTTGATCTAAACCTTTTTCAACTCGAGAGGCTCGCGACCCAACTTGACTTAGTGGCTTGTTGAGTTGAACTCGTATTGAGTTCATGAGAGGTTCAACCGTTGTGGCTAGCGTGCAATTTAACTACCGGCTTATGAGCTAATTGACTCACTCTTACTGTCACTCTAGAAAATGGCCAAGTGAAACCACTTCCTAAAGAGTAGTATAGCAGGTTTGGGTTTTAATGTCAACCCGGGTCCTAGATGTGATGACTACTCAGTGAATTCTAATTATCTAGCGGTAAAACTTAAGTGCAAGTTCAAACAAACAAAAACACAAAGCAAGTTAAGCGGTTGTTTCAAGTCGAGAGAGGTCACCCGGATATGGTTCCCCCTAGACTGTAGTTAAGCCGGATTGCAATTACCAAGTTCAGTTTCTATGATAGTTATACTGCGGAAGGTTCTTAAACAGTCTGAAGTCTCGACTAAAGGTCTCCAGACCCTCTCAATCTGAGTCCCCAGCGGGCTACTAACCTCCACCGGAGTAAGCAGATTGAGGCCCTAACGAACCAAACCTCCACTACCGAAGCAAATTCAGTACAAAATAGTGAACTGGCTCCTCGACTAAAGTCACCAATTCACTACCTTCAATTTAGGGTGCTCTATTAACCTAGGCAGATATTCTCATTCTAGGCTAAAGCAGAAATAACAGGAATTTGATCAGGATTCAAGTCATTCAATCATTCAAGCCTCAATTGAATATAATCAAATCATAGAATCTGTACTTGGGTTCATACAATCAAACCTAACATACAAATCTAAGGTTCTCCATACCCAGATGAATGGGAGAACTACTCCATGGAGAAAGAAGCAAAAGCAGATTCAGATGCGGAAACCATATTGTGAAGGATGGATTTCTGCTCCTGGTTGTCGATCAACACTTCTCCAAGCTCAAGCCGGGCTCCAATGGTGATGAAGATCAAGCAATGGCACTTGGGAACTCTTGTTCGTCGCTTTCACTCTCTAGGAATCGCTTTGTCTCTCTAAAACTCGGAACCCTTGATTTTCAACCTTATCTTCCTTTAAAAACTTGACTGTCGCGATACCCGATCGAAATACCCGGTCGGGTATTTTGGGTCTCGACCGGGTATAATTGAAACGCGCGTTTAAGAGAAGAGAAAAATCCCCGGTCTTTTCTAAGAATCCCCGACCGGGGATTTATGCTTCACGACCGGGACCCCTTCTGTTTCTCATACGCCAAAAACGATAAATACCCGGTCGGGTATTTGAGCCCATGACTGGGTATTTTCCTCCTGCACCACACTTCGACCCAACTTCGCTCATTTCGACCCGAAACTCGTTTCCTCGCCTCGATTCCAACGCCGGACCCTGAAATATGACATAAACGCCAATGCAAACCGTTTGCTTGTCCCCAAGCAAACCTAACTCAAACCAATGCAACTTCGCTCCTTTCGACACCTTCTGTTTCTCAGACGCCAAAAACGATAAATATCTGGTCGGGTATTTGAGCCCATGACCGGGTATTTTCCTCCTACAGCACACTTTGACCCAACTTCGCTCCTTTTGACTCAAAACTCGTTTCCTCGCCTCGATTCCAACGCCGGGCCCTGAAATATGACATAAACGCACAACCTCGCGTGAAATCGGCTTAAAACACGAGAATCAACCTCTCAAACGGCTCAAGAATAGGGGTAAAAACAGGTGTAATTATTGGTCTATCACTAATCGATCTGTATCTTATAAGTTGCTTTGTTGACAATTCATAAGTTTGTTATAGTATGAAAATGAAATACGATCATGATTAAAGATTAACTATTATTTCTCATCATATCATACATGACATATAATTATTAGAGTAGTTAATCTATAAATTATTTTTAAGTTCGGTTTAAGGATTCAAGTATTAAGAATAAATGAATTAAGTTCGAACTCAACTCACGACCTTATTGATGAGTCAAGCTCGACAAGAGCTCATGCGATCATTGACAAGTCGTGCTTTAGTTGAGTTTGATACATATACATGAGCCAAACTTTTAGTAAACGATCCGAGTTCAAACTCGATTCAACTAGACTCCGCTCGATAATATATGCTCCGAGCTCGAACTCGACTCGTTTCTTGACAAGCTAAGTTCGAAATAGACAAAACTCGATTGGATTCATCTAATTTGCATCCTTATTTCATCCAAAATGCCCACTTAAGCTACTACTATTTAGCATCTCCCATACTTCGACCAAGATTTCTATGAGCTACAAGTGTTGTCACCTTCCTCACCTAGACCAATAATTGGATTTGAAATATTTATTTCTATTGCTTGATTGTATTTTCCACTTATAATAGTGATGTATAGTTCGACTTTGTTACGGTGACATGCATGTCACTGTGACATGGACCTTTCGGTCGACCTAATCATAAAGGCGGTCGACCGAATTGACTAATTCAGTTATGTGAGATTCGGCCTATGAGGTATTTGGGTCGACCGTCTACATAAAATGGTTGACCTCTTTGGTGGTATAACAGAATGAAAGGTCGACCCAAATACCTCATAGGCCGACCCTTGTGCACCTATCAGGTCAACCGCATTCGTAAGAGGTCGACCTCATGCACACCGTATCTGTATTGGATAAGGATTCCAACACTAGAAAGGTTCCACAATTGGACAAGAAAACGAATTGGGTCGAACCATTCACGTCCTAAATCTCTAAAAATACGAATATAAGTCCCCTTCAACGCCACCAAAAGTCTGAATTATGTTTTTCCCGATTTAGAGCCTTTGTGAAGAAGATCGTTCGCGGTTGTTGTTGTACGTGTTGAAAGTGGTCGACCACGTCGAAGGTGAGGTAAACCTACTGTAGCATTTGGTCGACCTTGATCTCAACTAGGTTGACCTGATGAGATATTTCTTCGGAATTGGATTTAGGGCACAACACTTGGACTTCCGTATTTGCGAGGTAAAGAAGATCAACCCAATAGGTCGACCTATTGTGTTTTAAGGTCGACCGTTTCTGTTTGTTTTGGTTGTTCAACTTGAATGTCGACTTTGGCTTTGTTTGTAAGACTATGTTGTGCTTCAAAAGGTCGGCCTCTCAAGCTATCTGGTCTACCTATCCATTTTTCGGTTTCATATTGCACTTGCTTTTGTTGGTTAATTGTTATTTTCCTGCTGGATAGGTCGACCTAGGAAGATCAGATGTCGACCTTAAAGGTTGTGGTGGTCACAATTTGTCTTTCAGGTCGACCTAATAATTTGTCAGGTCGACCACGTCTCTGTTTTTTTGTCAATTGTAGAAATTTGAAGTTGAATTATGATTTGAATTTTTCTTTAAATTGTTTAGAAGATGATGCATTATGAGAGACTGCATCAAGATTTGGGTGAAATCATGAAAGTGTTGAAAGCCACACAAGAGCAGCTGGTGGTGTGTCAAAAACAAGTCAATGACTTTCAGAAGTCCATTCGTGATAAAGTGGAGCAGTTGTCAGTTCGATTGACAGATATGACTGGGATGATGCATGATGGGTTTGAGAGGATAGAAGGTGCTATCAAAGATATAAGTGCAGAATGAATGCAGAATGGAGGAAGAGATGGTACATGAAAGAGCACAATTGCTACCAGAGCATAGACGATTTATTGAAAGAGCACAATTTAAAGGTAGACAAGTATATTCATATGTGATTGAAGATATTAGTATTACTATCATTAGTGCCAATTTGTTTTGTTTATATGTTTGACAGAGTGAAACAATGAATGGCAGCAAGGGTTCCTCTCCTAAGTACAAGAGACCTCGATATGAAAATGACTCCTACACCACTCCACAGAAAGATCATTTTGTAAGAAAAGGATTATTTAGTGTTGATAGCGACGAAGATGAATCTATGAGTCCTTTCGAAAAGCACGGAGTAAGTTTACGTTACATATTCATCTATAATGTGTGTTTGTGTTCATATGTTACTACAATTTTAACTATGATTTGTAGGTCATAAAAGTGGAGGACCTAGAAGGATTCACCAAAAATCTTCAAAATCCAGTTGAAGACTTGTATTATGTTGTTACTAAAGAGAAGGCAGGGGGACGTGAATTGGGACAAGTAAGAAGCGTTTTTTTAGTACATGTGGTCGACCGTTTAGTTCATGAGGTCGACCGTTTATCCAATAAGGTCGACCTTGACTTTGAACAGGTCGACCTTGACTTTGAACAGGTCGATCTGTACGTTGCAAATCACAATCGACATTTCTGTTATTTTGATTTTTTGCAGTTTGACCGTTGTTGACTTTTTTCTGAAAACGTGCAACAAAATTATTTGAGTTCGGTCATTAGCGAGATTAGCTGGGTTTGCTCATCCATAAGTACTATACTACTACGAATTTCGTATGAATTGTGCACTATTTATGTTGGATGGTAGGTGGTGGATTTGTGTGCAAGGGCACTAACAATGTTTGAAAAACATGATTTGAAAGAGCCAAATGTGTGGTATTTTCCAAATATGTTTTCGATAAGAGCCGTAATGTTAAATTATTTTTAATAACCTAGTTATTTATATTGTACCATATCAATTCATCTCAATTAAAACATGGTGCAGAAAATGGTACGCGCTAACATGAAGACCAGACAAATTCGTAACAAGTTGATGAATGATGGCTTGGTATATATGTCGAATGTCAGTGCATGCCAGAAGGTTATTCAATGTCTCTATCTCATTAAATTTCGAAAGTGCATTTGTTTGTATTCGCTTTTTTTAACATATAGTGAGTTTTTCGTTGCTAGATATTTATGCTAGTTCTTGACGATGAAGCATGTCATTGGTTTCTGTATCTCGTCAATGTCCAGCAAAAAACTGCATTTTTGCTTGACAATCTACCTTCAACTAGTGAGGCGAATCGTAAGCGTAAATCAGCACTATGCAAGAAATTGGTAAGTGTTTCCTATAATTTTTTGACTACTAAGCGTCACGTATTATGCTAGAAGCATAAAATATTCGTTATTTGTGTGTAGTTGTCCAATTTGGATGATATTTTCAAACCAGAGTGCATGAGCAATGTCGCAGTACCAAATTTTGGAGATTTCAAATTTGAAGAGCTACCCGTTCAAGGGCAAAGGAATAGTACTGAGTGTGGTGTGCATGTCATGCAGTGGATGCGTTATGGATCCAAGGATCTGGATAGCGTTGTGAGTATATAGTCAAACAAATAACTTGTTTAATTTTTACTTTTTTTTTTAGTTCTAACGAGGTCTTGCATGTCATAATGCAGATAGGAGAAGAACACAAATTACCAGCTCGAAAAGAGATTCTATGGTATCTGGCTACACATTTTGAAAACAGTGCACGGAAAAATCTTTTCAAGCATGTAGTAGATGAATGCAGGGTAGGAGGCAAAGAGAGAAAGAGTTCAAACAAAAAAGCAAAGAAATGAAGTCATTAAGTTACAATGTTTCATTATTTAGACAATACATTGAATTTGTATTTTCGAGGTTGTTTCATTTTGGATTTTGAATGTTTATCGTTTATTAGATTTGTTATACAATTATGGATGTGAAGGAATTTACTGTTTCAATCATCTAGAACAAGTGGTCGACCACATACTCAAAGGGGTCAAACCCGTAGGCACAGCATAGGTAAACTTCGTGACTCTTAAGGTCGACCTATGATACCGTAGCAAAGTCCAAAACAATGTGGAAAAGGATGGAGTCCTGTTTGTTTCGCCTTAATAAAAAAACGGTCGACCATTCGTGTAAAGAGGTCTACCTGTTTCACATTTATCAAGAACGGTCGACCATTTGTGTAAAGAGGTCGACCGAAATGAGTCGGATTAGCTTTTTACTTAATTACTTCTCCTTGTCCAACTAGGATTTTGTGTACTTGTCCTTGTCGAATTATGATTTTATATATCCTTAGCCAATTGGGATAAGTGTTACCCATACTAGTGAGGATAAGGAATTCGTCTACATTCTCTATAAATAGATGGAAGTCTTAAGACTTTATTCGCACTTCGATTTATTCAATTTGTTCGAGTGAAGTTGTAATCTCACCGCTCTTATTGTGATCGTGTGTTGGTGGCGGTTTATTCTTATTCCGGTAGACCGTAACAATAAGTGGTCGACCGTGTTTGCTAAGGTATGTGTCGTGTGTGCTGGTTAAATGTTGTATGTGGTTCACTTTTTCCCTAATAAGGTCGACCACCTCAACCTTTCGGTCGACCGTATCTGTGTAATTGTATGATAAGGTCGACCATACAGTGAATTCTGGTCGACCTCATCTGTGTAATTTGATGATAAGGTCGACCGTTCAGTTCATTCAAGTTGACCTGATGAGAGCTAATTTTGTATGTATTTGACATTCAATTCGTATTCCGATCGTTGCATGATGGATAATAGAGATGATACAGATGATAGAGATGCTGACGAGGTTAACTTTGATGAGGAACCTAAGGATGCTCGAGGAGGATCTATGGATAATCCAGATGATACGAATGATGAAGTGGTTGGGGATGATAAGGAAACCGAGTCTGCTGAAGAAGAATTTATGGATGATGATGAAGCTACTGAATATGAACAACAAATTCGTTCCATGGAGTTTCAAACATTAGAAGATGCAGAGAAATATTATGATGCTTATGCTAAAGCGAAAGGGTTTAGCGTTACGTAGAGATCTTCGGAGGAGTCGTCGAGGAGTAGCAATTGGGAGGACAATGGTATGTTTGAGAGAGGGGACTAGAGAGAAGATGCATATAGATAAATAAGGTCGGACATGACAACATCGTAAGATGACAAGACATTCTTGCAAGGCAAAGTATACTGTACGCTTTGATCAGAATAAGAAAATGTGGGTTGTTTCTAATTTTGAGAGGAAGCACTCACATCGTTGCTGCAATGAAGAAGAAACTCAATTCCTTCGGTTTCATCGAAACTAACTGAGGTCGACTTGTGACGGCAAAAATACGAGTTTTGCAATTCTCCTATGAATTATTTGTGTGAAACTAACTAAGGACGACCTGTTGTAATTTTGAGGTCGACCTAATCTGTTTCGCACTCAACATTTTAAGCATTTGGGTCGACTCATTCTCGTTTTAAATTAACTAAGGTCGACCGTTTCTGATTATGAGGTCGACCTATGGTGTTTTGCACTCTAATTTTGTCCATCTTCGAACCATATTTGTGCTTTATTTTCTGTGTTCGACAATTGGTGTGTATTAGGTCGACCTAGGATGTTTTAGTGGTCGACCTAACATTGTTATGTTTTATCTATACGTGCAGTTTAGGTCGACCGCTTTATGTAGTGGTCGATCGAGTTTTGTTCATTTCGAAAATGTGACTAACATGTATTCTCGCTAGTTTGATCGCAAGATGTTTGGCAACAAAAAGAAAAAAAAGTCACAAAAAGCTGCTGCTTCAAGTTCGGAATGGGAAGAGTTCATCCCACTCTGTTCCAGACCAAGGAGCAAAGTGACAACTTTGAAGAGAGGAGAATGCACAACCGCAGGGTGGCTCCTGGAAGGCCATTGACGACGGATGCGTATTCTCATTTCGAGAATTACGATTTTCTAGGACCCTTTGTCGAGCAAGAGCGGCTGAAGGTGATATCTCTGAATGTACCATACTACCCAAAAATGGTACAGTACTTCTACAACAACATCGTCTACCAGCGTAATGCAAATGGATCCATTCATGCATTTAAAACCTAAGTGAATGAGGTGGAGATGCGCATTAGCAAGAATGTGTTGGCACAAATACTAGAGGCTCCAAACGAGGGGAAGATAATCAATTCTTACACTGCTTGGAATGAAACTCATTTCTCGAGAACCAATCAAATCCAGATGGTATGTGGTCTTGATGAAGTGGAAGATGCTTAGGGTCGCAGTAGGCCAACGAGTAACCACCTGACAGTTCAAGCCAGAGTTCTTCACCACATGCTTTCCTACAACATTCTGCCAAAGGGTGGACATCGGGAGACAGTCACCTACTTCGACATGGAGCTCCTCACCAACCTACTGTTGGACGAGAAGGTGAACTTGCCATACTTGATCTTTAACCACATGCTTACTGCTACAGAGAGTTCACACATGAATCTTCCCTATGGGATGATCCTGACTTTGCTATTTGAGCATTTTCATGTGGATTTAAGTGGTGAGGTGGGGTTAAGAATCTCAAGGCAGGAGTTATATACAGTTTCATCTCAGAAAAAGATGGGCTTTGAGCTGCGTAACGGTGAGTATGTCCGAATAAACAATGCTCATGGTGCCCATGGTGGTGATGATGAGGAGGAGGAGGATGATGATGATGGTGATGGTGATGAAGGAGCCGGAGACGAGCCAATGCCGCAGGCACAAAGTTCAACTCCACCGGTCACCTTAGAGCGTGTGTGGGAGCGTATGGATGGCATGTACGAGTACATTGGCCAGATGTCCAGCCAGATGACTGGCATGTACGACTACATGGGGCAAATGACCGCCCAAATGAAAACAATGCAGGTGACCGTGAATGAGATGTGAGATGAGTGGCGATCTTTCAGTGGAAGATACATGCATTCCACATCCGACCACCATCATGCTAGCAACACCAATGAAGAAAATGTGGATGAGGGAGAGAGGGGACATGAGTAGGAACTCGAAGATTTTAGATTGTGTTTTGCTATTGTTAAGTGGTCAAAACGATTGTTGATTGTTATTCTGTTGTTTTAGTTTTTTTTTGTGTGAACAATTATGATTTTTGTTTTATTGTATTTCTTGTTAGTTTGTTTAGTTGTTATGTTATGAAGTGACGAGTCCTTGTTATCATTATTTATGACTAGTTATGATGGTTTGAAACATAATTTGTACAAGTAAAAGAACCACACAAATCGACATTCATAAGAAAAAAAGACACGGGGCATAGGTTGACTTTCTTGTATTCGGTCGACCTCGTACCGGATTAGGTCGACCTCGAAACCAACATTTGATCTTCATTTTACGTCAAATGATTGGACAAATTGATAGAACACTTATCTTCTATCTGGTCGACCTCTTTTTTTATCTGGTCGACCATGTTGTTAATGACTGCCATCAAGTGGTCGACCTATATACCTTTACGGTCGACCATGTTGTTTCTGACGCCAACGAAATGGCAGACCGAGGTTTTATTGTGGTCGACCAAAAATAACAACTTAAACTAAGAACGGTCGACCAGATGGTCTTTGAGGTCGACCGCGATACTTTCTCGTGATGGTCAAATTAGTCGATTCGGTCGACCTCCTTCAGGATTAGGTCGACCGAAAAATGCATGTTACGGTCAGATGCAATATTTAATGTCAAATAGCACTAAAATGGCATTAATAAGTAACATGTGTTTAATGGATAATGCATCCAAAAACTTTGATAATGATAGCAACTAATGATTGTTAAGTACCTTATTAGATATTATTAATATCTTATTTTCAAACATTGATAATGCTTATACACACGCCTATTAATAATGACACCAACTACGTTACTAACTTAGACTGAAAGATTAATAACCATAGTTATATCATTAAACGTGAATTCACTTTTGATAATGTCATAAACAAACGAATATCTAACAAGTATGCTTCTTGATAATGACATTTGACAAAGTTACAAACATAAACGAAAAAATATTAATAATTCAAACCATTAAACATAAGCAATCTTAGAAATGAATTAAATTTTTGCTAATGGTTGTATTGTGCTTGGAAAAAAATATTGATAATAGCACTTCAAATGATTATAAATCATTGAGAACCAAATTGATAATACTATGTAATAGTAAATAAACTTCAAGTAGAAACAAATTGAAAACACAATTTCACTTTTGCTAATGTTACAAACAAAACATAACATAAAAAGTTAATAATGTCATATAAAATTATTAAAAAATATGTCGAACAATATTAATAATAACACAAACGAATACCTAACAACGAATAATCTCAAACCCATGCAATGAAAAGCCCTAATGATGATTCAATTTATAAATATTGATAATTTCATTACAAAATGTTAATACTGAATACTAATCGGAAGTTGTCAAGATGTGAGAGAGGCATATATTTTAAATTTCAAATTTCCATTTTAGAAAAAGAAAATTATTAAATTCGGATTTTATTAAATATTAAATAAAATTAATTTCATATTTCTTTTTAATTATAATGTAGAGAGAGGGTTATGGAGAAAATCGTGGGATGAGAGAGAAAGAGAATCACTAATTAATTATATTAATTTTAATTATATTTGCATAATCCTATTTACCCTTAACTACTTATTAACTACTAACCCCCATTAACTACCTAATCCACTATCAGCCAATAGGAAAGCTTTAAGATTTTCCTTAAGAAATGAAACTTAAGGACTTGAACTCAAGCCGTTCGACGGTATTAATTAACGTGCTAACTGCACTAACGAAAAAACTAACATGTTAATCATATAGTCAATAAAAATATGAGGTGGAATAAACAGAAAAATAAAAATAAAAAGATTAATTTTTTTTATTTTCCTCTCTCCCTCTCGGTTCTTCTCCCACCCAATCTCCCCCCTCTCTTTCGTTCTTCCCAGAACTAGTTTCCTTCCCCAAAATCACTTCCCCATGTTCCTCCTCCCCAATTTCCAATCCGCAACAACCTTAACACTCACCTCCTCTCTTCCATCCACCTTTACTACCACATCAAATTCAACCCTCACCACAATCTATTTCCAATCCGCAACAACCACCACCAACCCCTAGATCTGACTCACCGCCGTTCCTGCTGCAACATCGATGACTTCAAATCTCTGTTCCCGATGGCTGGCGATTGCAACGTCGACGCTTTCAAATCTGCTCCAAATCCCCGCCGCCGCAAAACCCATAATCCCCAAACCCATAATCCTCGTCGCTGCTGCTACTCTGTTTCGCCGATGCCGTCGTTCTTCTCCGTGGAGTACTCGAAACCCTACCAGTGAGGAGGAGCTCTAGTAAAAGACCTACATAGTGCGATTCCGCTCTCTGCCGCCACCTTGCTGGCGGAGTTACGATGGAGATACGCCATTCCCCTTGCTACTCTTTGCGCCACTGTCAGCCTCGTGCACCATCGGAAAGGGATTTTTGTGATTGTTTTTTCAAATTTATGCGAGAAGGGACACAGAGTTTGAAATAAATAGGGATCCTTACCATGAATGATATTGAAGAGGTTGCCATTCTCTGCAAATCCTTTGAAATGAAGTAAGCCAAAGGCGGCAACAAGTTCGAATGCTTCTGATCACCAATGGAGAGTGGATCCGAGTCTCGTGACGAACCACGACGTAATTGAAGTGGTACGTCGACGCCTTCAAATCTGCTCAAATTTCTCGCCGCAATCAAACCCATAATCCCCAAATCCCGGCCGCCGTCACCTCTATGCACACCACTTTCTCATCCTCACCAGTCACCACCAGCGAAGGAGAATCGAGCGCCAGTAGATCCCCGCCAGCCGCTCGACAACAGGAACCTCATCGCTAGGACGAGATCAGTTCATCGCTGGTGCCCATAAATCAGTTCTTCTAGCCAGAGGTTGAAGATGATGGTTGTGGGAGTTGGGTGAATGAAAGGGAGAGATAGAGAGAAAGGCTGGAGCATATTGGAGAAGGAGACGAAGAGGTGTGGGGGAGAGGGGTTGTTGGGAGAAGATGAAATCAGGGGAAAGAATAAGAGAATAAAATTTAAAAAAGAATATTGAAAATTTAATTTTGAATATTACGTGGCATCTATTTGTCATCGTAGGCTGAGGTGGAATCGAAAGAGAGGGTGAGTTGGCAGCCAGGTAAGCGTGTCGTTAGTTTGACTAACGGTGTCCCTGACGGCGTTAAAATATGTAAAGGAAATGGCTATATTTGTCATGAAACTTTCAAAATTTTGGCTATATTTGGTATTTAGCCAAAAGTGGCTATTATTGTCACAAACGTGAAACTTTTGGCTACACGGATGAATTTTGCCTTTTTTTTTAGCTTAAGATCTTTTGTATTGCTTGCGTAGATGAGGCAGATCTTTAAGGGGAACTAGTTAGCAGTGTTTATTTTGCGTTCTCTTTGAAGCTGTCCTCTCTATGTTTTGGACATGCTCCTTTTGATGTACCCCTGTTCATCTTATGCTAATGAAAGTTTCCAGTTTTTTGGAGGATGTGTTGTTGTGGTTTGATTTCTTTTTCAGGTACTTCTTGGACGAAGGGGGAAATTGTTGGATGATGACGACTCTCTCAAGCAAAGTGCAACGACGTCGCATTGAACCACAACCCACCATCATAAACAACGACGTCGTCCTTCAAGTCTCAGCGAACCAAACCACTTTCGTTTTGAACCACAGCACAACGTTTCTAATCTCAACAAACCAAACAACTGGGCAAGCTCCTCGTGCAAAGATCTCCATTTTCATCTCCTTCTCTTCTCTCTCCGAAAAATGGAGATATCTTCCTCGAAGCTTGTCATCCTCGAGCTGCATCTCTCGTCCCTCTCCAAGATCGCCACCACCTCTACAAAAGCTAATGATGATCACTAGCATGATCATCACCCTTAGCAAACGGTCATCTTCTTTCCTTGTATAAATAATGTGTTTGACCTAACATTACAATTTGGCAATCTGTAGTAGAAGAATAGGAGAGTGTCTTCTGTTACATTGGGTCCTTGTAGTGCTTCAGTAGAACAATCACAGTGTTTGCAAACTGGGTGATTTGTTCTTGGGAAACTGGTCGTGTGTTTTTGTTTCTAAAGAGCCAATTCGTTGGCTTTGCTCTGGTTCTGTGTTTCTTTGTACTTCATTTTGTGATAAATAAAAGTGTTCTTTTTTTTAAGAGTTGCTTCATTTCAAATCATCTGTTAGAGTGAGAGTTTATGCCCTGCAAAGACCAAGTATCCTTCCCACTCTAATTTCACAATCCGTTCTTCAAACTTGCAGAGTCGTCCTTTAGCCTTAGCAACCCTTCCTTGAAGCTATCTCGCTGCGCAGCTTTGGAAGCCATGGTTCTGATACCAAATGTTGTGTGCTGTTCTTCTCGATGGGTTTCAAGAGCCAAGAAGGATTTGGGACTCTGTTTTGTAAGAATGGAACAAAGGGGTTAAGAACAAGAGAAAGAGGGAAACAGAGAGAAGGGAAGAAGAGTTGAGAATGGCTTCTTCAAGGCAAAGCCGGCCTCCTTAACACTAACGTGTTCCTTTTATTAATCTTCTTGGCTACCAATTACAACCGTTCAAAGTGAATTAAATAGGCAAAGTCAAACCTACTACTCCTAAAAACTAGCTACAGAGCACTATCCCACTACCAACAACCCAAATAAAAATCCCTAATTTTCAGCCACTAATTTGCACGTAACAGAGAACTGCCTTCCGCTATCGCTGGCCATCTTCTCCACCTTTTCACCATCTCAGTCCTTCCATATCTTGTGGAATTAGGTTCAAATCCCATATCTGGGTGGTGTTAGGGATTGAAATTGTGTTTGTTTAGTTTTGGCCGAAGTCGACCTTTCTCTTTTCTATGCTTAGTTTGTAGTTTACCCCAGTTAGCGCGGCGGAAGGAGAGATTGATGACGGAGGTCAGGGGTGATGTAAGCGCAAGGATGGATTTGAGGTAGCTGGCGATGGGAGCAAGCGACGGAATTTTGCAAAGGGGGATAGAAGGGCGTTGACTGGAGAGCTGTGTTTTTTTTAAGGAAAATTTATGAGTCGGTTACAGACAACCGAAACAAATAATAAAATTTATTCAGAAAATTGATTTTTTAAGGGAAATATTAGTGTCAATTGAAACAGACACAAAATAACCGACACAATATTTTTGAGCCGGTTATTCCGGCGGTTGCCCTAAACCGACACAAATCTGATTAGTGTCGACAAGTTTCGTGTTGGTTAAATGAACCAACACAAAAAAATAATTGTGTCGGTTATAACCGACTCTAAACGTATAAAATAACCGGCTCTAAACATTGTTTTTCTTGTAGTGACTTTATCAATTACGATTAATTACATAACAAGTTTGCAAGTCATATAAATTGATTCAACATTTTGACTAGTGTTTTTAAAATTAAGTATATACACGAGGTAGAAAGAAATTGGTTAAAAATTAAGAAATATTTTAAATTAGTGTAATAAAATGTGTAAGTTGGTAACGAGTAAGGGGTAAGTTACTCGATGCGCTGACCCGAAAAATCCGCAACCTGTCCGACCCAAAACCCGATGATCCCATAACCCGATTTGCACGCAACCCGATTGAACCCAAACCCGATGAACCCACAACCTATTTGAACCTGAACCCAATGAACCCGAACGTGTAGTGTATCTGCAACTCATTTGAACCCGAACCCGATTGAACCCAACCAGAACCCGCCCGATTGACACATATACAGGTGATGTTTGTTAAAAAAAATGTCATGATACAAATTGGATTTATATTTTTAACGTAATATCATTTATGTACATATATTTTTTCATAAAATTTTTTAATCATACAAACTAAATTTGTATTTTTAATATGTTTGTAAATATTTAGTTTGTACCTATACATTTTCGTACAATATTATTTTATAATATAAACTAAATTTATGCTTTAAACAGTAAATATTTAATTTTTATTAAAAAGCCCGGTGCTCAGTATCATAGCAAAATTCTTTTTCAAATGCACGTCCTTTGTGCACTGACCAATTCATTGAACATAAAACGTTATCAGTTTGATATCAAAACCTTGAGGACAGATTAGCAATCAACGTGTTGACACTCGACACAGACGAAACTTGTTGACACAACTATCATATCTAAACTTGAGGACATAGGAAATAATGTATTTAGGAAAGGTAATGGGTCGGTTGGGTCAAATTTCTCCAATAAACTCAAATCCAACTTAGCAAGTACAAAAAAAAAAAAAAAAAAAATCAAATATTAATTGAATTTCGAAAGAGAGATCTCAACTAAATCCAAATGGTACCTTCTAGCTAGTACATGAGTATCAATGGATTCATGGACATAACTACCAATAATTCAACTTAGCACTCATATTCTTATATTTCCGAAAAGTTTTGTACAACTATATATTGTCATTAAGGCTAATGACATTCATAAATTATCTATATTGTTAGGACTATATTCCCATAAAGACTATTAGCATTCATAAATTATATATAGTTTTATAGTTAAAAGCAAAATAAAGTATTTTTTAATAGCATCCTGCTCAACTGTCAATTTCAAATTTGCACCTTACTCAAAATCATAAATACTAAAATGTACATGCATGGGTTGATCAGACTAGACCAAACTGGGTACCCACGATTCCGAGTTCATGATTCTTAAATTGTGATCCTTATTCTAGTAAGATTATACAATACCGATCACTTTTCACCACAGTATGAATGACCGTATTATTCTAGAGAATGTAAGTACGCCTACAACAATAATATTAATGTCAAGTACATTGATTCTTCATTCAAATACAAAAACGAAATTAATACTTAATTATATTCGGTTCACCCATATAGATGAGGAGGCAGGCGGGGAGACAACAAAACGTCAAGAGGAGTAGCTCTAGGAACAATCAGCCCGATCCCCTCCGTCATGTCAACCGGTTTGCAGCCGGGCCTCACGAAATCGAACCCATGCAAGAGCGTAGCCAGGGTCAGGTGCATAACCCGCAACGCGAAATTCACACCAGGACACATCCTCCTTCCACTGCCAAACGGTATCAACTCGAAGTCCTGCGCCCTCAGCTCGATATCCTTATGGGTTGCCAGGAACCGGTCAGGCCGAAACTCGTCCGGGTCCGACCAGACCCTCGGGTCGTACTGGATCTTGGACATGTTGACGATGAGCCAGGTGCCCTTGCGAACGGACCGGCCGGAGAAGGTGCAGTCTTCCATAGATTTGTGTGGCAAGGAGAGCGGGCCGGGAGGGTACAAGCGGAGGGTTTCCTTGCCGATGGCTTTGTGGTACTCCAGGTGGCGGTGGTCGGACTCTTGAACTCGACGTTGGTTGCCCACGTGGTTGTCCAGCTCGGATTGGGCTATTGTCAAGACGTCGGAGTGGTTGACTAGGAGTGAGAGGAGCCAGGTCATTGTCACCATGGTTGTGTCGGAAGCGGCTAATACAAGGCCCTGTAATGAATTGAACAAAACTACAAAGGTTAGAGTGCTAACTTCATAGGAGTTAGCACCGTGATAACTACTCTAATCACCATCAATTTTTTAAGTTAATCTGATGGTGGTTATTAATAAAGGGTTTGTTTGGTATCTCACAATATTAAAAATAATAAATAATTAAAATATATTTTCTCTTTCCTCCGTGTACTAGTTATTTTATAAAAAAAGATTATTTTGGTTTGATAGTAGTGGTTTTTTATTTTAAGTGTTATCCATAGTGATTTAGGAATTTATCTGGTAGCAATTAAATTGTCATTAGTAGTGATTTAGAAATTTTCTGGTAGCAATTGAATTGGTATTAGTAGTGATTTAATAATTTACTGGAATGGTTTTGTATTTTTTGTGTAGCGATTTATGTTTCTTGTGTAGCGACTAAAATAGGTAGTTAGCCAAGAACCACTACTACACCATAAAACCTCAATCAAATATGTAAAATTGCTACTAATATAACCCATTATTATTCATAATAATTACCACAAATCTAAAAACATTACTACAGATATGGAAATTTACTATTGTAACAACTCTCTTGTTGACTATAGATTTGATTGGGAGATCTGGACATTCGCCAACGTAGAGAGATATTGGGGTAGAAGAGATTGATGCAGCGGCATCATGGCGGAGTTGTCACGGCTAGAAGAGATCCGCCAACATTGTAGAGATCCGCCAACTTCGACGGCTGAAAGAGATAGGACGGCCTGACGGCGGCGTTGCCGAGGCATTGGTGGGGAAAATACGGTAATCAAGGGCGAGTCTGGCTACAGGCGATGGCGGCGCAGGCAATGGCGAGTCCGGCACGGGGGATGGCGCGGGCGATGGCGAGTCCAGCACGGGCGATTGCGGCGCGGGCGATGGTGACTTCGGCACAAGCCATGGTGGAGATGGGAAGAGGCAGGGGAAGAGACGGTTTCGGATGAAAGAAGTAACAGACGTGGGCGGCCGAGTGAGATGTGGGAGGTAAAAGGTGTTTTATATTAGGGTTTAAAAATATATTGACTAAACTTTCCTCTATTTAATTCTGACCCTAGAATTAATATTTTAATCTAACGATAATTAACTTAGTTAGGATGGTGCTAACCATCTAATCTCATTTCAACTAAATTATATGTGTATATGCATGCAGTGCTTTTTCCTTGCGACCAATTCCGACGCTATATGTGATTTATTTGTCTTTTTTTAACCAAAGATAATCATAAATATATTGATAAGCTCAGAAGTTACACCCTGGATCCAACCCAGGCAGGAAAATCATACAAACGACACGAGGCCGGAGACAAAGAAAGGGCCTTACTAGCCCCTGAATGGGCTACCCTATTGCTATTCCGACCGATGAACTGAACATAAAAACCATTATTCACCCCTAGCAGGCTCAAAATCTCCGCGATTATAGCTCCTAACCGACTATCCCGCGCATCCTTTGCATTAATTTTGTCAATGAGTACCTTTGCATCACCTTCAAACCTCACTTGAGGGGCGCCAAGGCTCTGGCACCAATTGAGAGCTTCACGCAGGGTAATAGTCTCTACCACCAGGGGGTCAACCACACCCTCAAAAACCAACCCTTTCACTGCCACCACAGTCCCACCTCTATCCTTAACAATCAGCCCTCCCGCTGAATGGGAGCCAGCACAGACCGCATCATCCCACATACAGACAAGAGGAGCCCTATCCTCCTCGCCCTGATGATGCTGAGAGATAAACCGGTCCACTATCAATCGATCCTCTGGCAACGACACCCACTCATGTACCTGCTGATGATATTGGTGCATCACCTGGGAAACCAAGAATTGCTTGCCCTCAAAGGCTGCCCAATTTCTTGATTTCCAAATACGCCAGAGGAGCGCTACCAAGGCCATAACTTGATCTGGCTGAGTCAATTGAAGCAAATAGCGCTTAAGAAACAACGAGAAATTGTGACGAGGAAGATCCTGACCCAAATGCTCCAACCTCGAATGTGCCCAGAGAGCTTTAGCGACTGGACACTCCCAAAACACGTGCTCCATCGTCTCAGACTCTGCCCAACACACCGGACAACGTGGCAATATCTGGACCCTTTTTTCGTTCAAGGCTTCTGTGGTGGGCAAAATATGGTGAAAGATTTTCCAGAGGAACAACTTAAGTTTAGACGGGATTTTAAGGGCCCACATTTTCATCCAACTTGCTCTATCCATCCAACTCACTAGGGGGCGCCATGCCCCCACCTGTTTATCCATCAACACCGCTTGGTGATAGGCAGATTTGACAGTAAACATACCATCACACGTATCATGCCATACTACCTTATCCTCAATACTCATACGACTAGGCAGGGGAATTGCCAAAATCTCCCGACTAACTTCCGGAGGAAACATCTGTTGAATTGCCTGGTGACACCACCCCCCTTCCACAGGATCAACTAGCTCAACAACTTTTGGATTAGAGTCCTCCGATATTAATTGAGGCTTACACATCGGAGGGTGAGGGTGAAACGCCGGAACCCAGCTAGAGTTCTTAATAGAGATTTGTACACCATTCCCCACTTGCCAACGAAGGTCTCGCTGAAAGAGAGCACGACCATGAAAAATACTCTGCCACCCCCACGATGCACGGGATCGAGCAGTCGCCGTGAGGAAAGTGCCTTTTAGGAAATATTCACCCTTATAAATCTGGGCCAGGAGGGAATCCGGCTCAATAAGGATACGCCAACCAATCTTCGCCAGGAGAGCTTGATTGAAGTGTTCAAATCGTGGGAAACTCATCCCCCCATCATATTTACTTGTGCATAAGTTTCGCCAAGAGATCCATCGGACCCGCCGACGATCCCCTTCCACCTTCCACCAGAATCGAGCAACATGTTTATCTAGAATATGGCAGAGAGCAAGCGGAAGTTTAAAGCAGGACATTACATGCAGCGGTAAGGAGAACGCAATTGATTTAATCAACGTCTCAATGGCCGCCCAAGATAGCACCTTATGCTTCCATCCCTGAAGCCTTTCCAATAACTTCTCCTCCAAATACCGGAAGGTAGCCACCTTTGACTGCGCAATCAGAGTGGGCAATCCGAGGTATTTATCTTGGACACCCACTACACCCACACCCAGCTGGGCAGCTAGCGCTTCTTGATCCATGGGCAGAATATTTTTGCTGAAACAAACCGCGGATTTTTCCATATTTACCCTCTGGCCACTAAGCTCCTCATACTCGTTCAAGACCACCAAAAAATTCTCACACCCCTGCATTGATCCTCTGAGAAACAGATAAGAATCATATGAAAAGAACATATGAGAAACCCGAGGGGCTCTATGGCTCACACGTACACCAGCGAGTTTCTAGTCCGCAATGGTCTTGCGTAGTAATGCAGTAAAGCCTTCAGTGCAGATAACAAATAGGAGGGGAGATAATGGGTCCCCTTGACGAAGGCCCCTGGTCGAGGTAAAGTACCCGACTGGTGTACCATTCATAAGAACCGAAAAAGAAGAAGACCGCAGACATTCCTCGATCCACTGAACCCACATTGGGCTAAACCCCATTTTCCTTAAGATCGCAAGCAAGAAGGGCATTCAACTCTATCATATGCCTTTTCCATATCAACCTTCAGAGCCATATACCCCTTCTTTTCTTTAGTATTAATTTTAAGATAATTCATCAGTCCATGTCCGATGAGAACATACACTAGGGGTGTACGAAAAGAGAAAAGGCAAGGAAGATACAAAGGGAATTTGGAGGTTCCCATGTGAAGTTGTTTTTTACCCGACAGTGGTGCTATTAGGTCTACGAGTCTATTAGATATTGAGGCGACCATGGTCAGGAAATTCGTATAATTGATTTGGTCCAACAGCTGGTTTTAACTTATTCGTCCTCTAATGCAAGCATGCCAGCCTCAAGCAACCAGATCATTGTCAAGCTTTTTTCAGAAATGACAAAAATGTATAGCACAAGAATTGGTACCCACCCAACAAGGATATTGTACCAATTAGAAGATTTTGTAGAGATGAATATAATCACATGTTCAATAAATTTTGGAATTTGGAGGCCCTATACCAGAAATAACATGTGGTGCATACTTTAATAATAATATGAGCATTTTTTACTATCCAATCAAAATTTTTTTAGAAAACAAAAAAAAAAATTGTATTTTCAAAGTTAAATTGATTCCTTGGATGTTTAGTGACTATATTTACAATTATTCATTTCAAAATTGTCATCAGAAAACACAATATTTTCATTAATAATAATTGTTCACACAATTGAAATTTGAAAACTAAAATGATCAAAATATTGGAGCGAAATAGAGTGAAACATAGATGGTAGTATTTATTCATTCGGGAGAAGAAAACAGGCCAATGTTTATAAAGTATGAGGAAAATTTGAATTATGTTTTGCATCTAATCCTAATAGTATGGATAATTTATAATTATTATTAATCTTTAATCATAATATAATTCTAATAAGATGAATAGTTAATTGAGGTTATTATTGGGTTAATATTTTTGTATGACCTGAACTTTAATTAAAATAAACATCCTGGCCAATCTTTTCGATCTATAACATCCTGACCAGAATTATACACCAAAATAAACAATTTGGCCAGATTCGACTTTTGACCGTCAACTTGAACGGTCAAACGCGTTGACCGTTAGTCAACGTGCCATGTCACTGCCAACTCACCAAGTTCAAACAATTTTTTTTTTAATTTACACCTATTCCATTTTCTTTTCATTTATCATTTTGACGAAAAAAAATATTCTCGGGACAAAACGCCCCACCCCGAGACCTAAACTAAACCCTACCTTATCCATATCGCAACCCCATCCCCATCCACAGAATTCACCCGCCGTCACTCACCTTCTCCTTCCTTCGTCGAAGCTCCTCCATCGACTGGCAAAAATGCAGCGGCGGGCATTCTTCTGAGCCCGCCGCCGCCGCCACCACCATCGATAACCACCCTTCTCCTTCTACCCTCTCGCGATTATTTTCCGCCTCCTCCCTCGCGATTTCTGCTTCTCTCTCTGTGTATCGAAAACGACTTGGTGGAAAGGGACGATGACGGGTCCACATTCCAAAGGTACCACAGCCACCAGACCGTGTTCCCCACCAGCAACGTAAGTAATCCCTTTCTTCTGTCCATTTCCTTTCTTTTTTAAATCCTCAATACATCTAAGGATTAGGGTTTTCTAGTAAACTAATGCTCGTGACCAGCATTTGTCGCGTTCAGAGCTGGAAATTGAGATTAAAGTAATGCAAATTGAGATTAAAGTAATGCAAATTCAGATTAAAGTAATCAGCGTACCAATTTTTTTTGTCTTTGCTAGAATGGACGACACGGTTGAGCTTATTCTATACCAAATTTTTTTGTCTTTGCTAGAATGGACGATATGTCGGGGGATGTTCCAAAGTACGTTGGGGGGATTGTCGATGTCGTCAATGTGAATCGTGATTTCTTGTCCTACTTCGAATTGACGAAGACTTTGATTGAAGATTTGGAGTATATTTCGGTTGAGAGGCTATGGTACTTGACAGCTGGGGAAAGTATGGCGACTGGATTGCATGAAATTGTGTCGGATGTGGAGGTTTTAACTGGATTGCTGCCTTTAGTTGGAACTGGAGATATAAGGGTGTACTTTGAGGCAACAAGGGATCTAGAAGAGCTGGGTTATATGGGAGACAATTATGGGCATTTTCCTGAAGGGGAAGATGCATCTGGTGACAATTCAGCTGCACCTGAATTTGT